AAGACCGAAGGGAAGAGTTAGGAATTAAAGAAAAAAATAAGAGAGAGAGAGAGAGGGAGGGAGGGAGAGAGAGACAGAGAGAGACACGGCGAGAGAAAGTGAGAGTGAGAGAGAGAAAGAGAGACAGACAGACAGATAAACAAACAGCCAAATAAACGGATACACAAAAAAAAAAAACAGAAAGAAAGAGAGAGAACAAACACAGAGAAAGATAAAGGACAGAGAACATAGAGAAAGATAATAGGACAGAGAAATAGCAGATAGAGATCAGGTCCACACGAAGAATCGCGTCACTACTCCGAAGGGTCATATTATGCAAGGCAATCACAACAATTTGCCACGCTAATCTACCTTGCCTCGCCTCCGAAATTGGCACCCACGTCAATCCCCGTTTCCAGATCTGACTTCAAAAGTCCGAAATCACACCGATCGACTGAGCTTTCAACCGAAATTTTCCACATGAGCTTCACGCCGAAATCACATGAGCTTTCACACCGAAATCACATGAGCTTCACACCGAAATTACATGAGCTTTCACACCGAAATCACGTGAGCTTTCAATCACATGAAATCACATGAATCTCTTGATATGAAACCTTCACATTCCTTGATATATAACACCTACAACACAATAATCTTTCATTGTATCATCTTTATCTTTAACATACTAAAGATCTTGATTTTATTTCTTACTTTTTGACCAACACTGAAAACAAAAATACAAGTGGAAATTATACTGATTAAAAAAACAAAATAAGGGTTATCTGCTTGTTCATTGTTCTTTTTGTTCCTTTTCTTTGTATTCCCAATTAATGCCGTCCCTTTAGAATGCAAAGTACCGGATGTTTGTTGTGTACCACCGTAGCAGTGTTTTCGTTTTTGCACAGGGAGTGGGGGAAGCTTTTAGTCGGAAAAATGTTTAATTCTTGTTTTTCACTCTTCGTAACTGTTAAAACATGGTCGTATGTGTGGTGATGTATATACATACAGTACTGCAAACATATGTGTATATACATGTATATACATATATATAATATAATAAGTATATATATATATATATATAATATATATATATATATATATATATTATATATAGAGTAGAGAGACGAGAGAGAGAGAGAGAGAGAGAGAGAGAGAGGAGAGAGAGAGAGAAGAGAGAGAGAGAGCAGTGGAGAGAGAGAGAGAGAGAGAGAGGAGAGAGAGAGAGAGAGAAGAAGAAATAGAATGAGAGAAACGAGTATATAATGAGTTATAGATATATATATATATATATATATATATATAGAATTTAATATATGATATGTATGTGTTTGTGTGTGCGGGGTTGTGTGTGTGGTGTGTGTGTGTGTATTCATATCACTCGTCGCCAAGCCTATGGACATGGACAAAGTAAGGAATCGACTTTCACCGCAAAATATCAGGGTAGAGAAAGGCCGACTGCCGTCCACAGTGGCAGTAAACAAGACCTCAAAAGAGACTCTTGTTTACATCCAATCTCCCGTGCAATACAGAGTAAACAAGGGCAAGAAACGATGTCAAGTGTTCTCTCTCTCTCTCTCTCTCTCCTCTCTCTCTCTAATCCTAACTATCTCTATCTCTCTGTCTTTCTCATTAATCTATCTCTCTAATCTCCTCAATCTCTCTCTCTCTCTCTCTCTCTCTCTCTCTCTCTCCTCTTCTCTCTCTCTCTCTCTCTCTCTCTCTCTCTCTCTCTCCCTCTCTCTCTCTCTCTCTCTCTCTCTCTTGTTCTTTCTCTCAACAGTCTCAACAACATATGATTTTGAAGCAAATAGAGTAATAACAACACGTGATTTTGAAGCAAGAGTTCGCAACTGGAAAGCACTTTGAAGCAAGAGAGAGAGAGTAGCAACAACCTTGTGCGTTTGAAGCAAGAGAGAAAGCAACAACTTTGTGGTCTGAAGCAAGAGAGAGTTAGCAACAACCTTGTGAGTTTGAGCAAGCAGAGGAGTAGCCAACAACCTTGGTGAGTTTGAAGCAAGAGAAAGTAACAACACTTGAGCGTTGCAACAACAACTTGTGCGTTTGAAAGCAAGAGAAAGTAACAACAACATCTCATTTCGAAGCAAGAACGTACTTCTCCCTGTCCGCTTACAGAACAGATCGACTCAACCTCTAACTAAAGATCTAGAGAGGATCATTTTCTTCCGAAGACCGAAGAGCAGCTCGCCATCACAAGCTTCCTTTCCCGAAGTAAATACTCATGTTACGAGCTCAGCCTCCCAGGGACATGAAAAGGAAGACTGACAGGAGAAGGGAGGAGGGAGGAGAGAGAGAGAGAGAGAGAGAGAGGAGAGAGAGAGAGAGAGAAGAGAGAGAGGGAAGGAGAGGGAGAGGGAGGGGGGGAAGGAGAGAGAGAGAGGAGGGGAGAAGAGACGAGAAGAGAGGAGGGAGAGAAGGGAGAGAGAAGAGGAGAGAGAGAGAGAGAGGAGAGAGAGAGGGAGGAGGGAGAGAGAGAGAGAGAGGAGAGAGGAGAGGGGCGGAGGAGAGAGAGAGAGGAGATGAAAAAATGGAACATGAATGAGACTCTGAGCAAACAAGGGACGCTAAGACCAAAGTGGTGAGAAAAATGTTTTACATGCAGATGCGTGTATACCTACAGATGCGTGTGCACCTGTACAGACACACGTACTTATATAGACGCGTGGACATGTACAGATATATGCACATATACAGATAAGTGCACATGTACAGGCATGTGTACACATAATGACATCTGTACATATACAAACTCGAGCACATATACAGACACGCCCACACATACAAATACGTTTAGATATATATATATATACATATATGCGCCCACGTACAGACACGTGCAACTCAAACATTTACACGAAGCACAAAGACGTGCAAACATACAACACACGCACACATACAAACAGGTGACACAACGCTACAGCTGTGATACGACAGTGATACTATATGCGCGAAGCTAAGAAATATAGAGATATAAATACACAGAGTACAAAACAACTGGGAGCAAATGGGCAGGAGAGGAGAAAGAGAAGAGAGCAGAGCAGAGAGAGATATGAGAGACGAACTGAGTGATGAGAGACCGAGACCGGCAGAGAGGATCGACGAGCGAAACAGACGAGCCAGAGGAGAGAGAGGACGTGAGAGAGAGATAGTGAATGAGAGACTGTCTCGAGGCATTGCCAGGACGGAACAGAGAGAATGCGAGAATTAAGAAAGAAAGATACAGAGAAAGTCAAAAAAGAGGAAAGGAAGTAAGATCTTAGAAGACAAGAGGAAAGAAAGAAGAGAGAAAGGAGCAACGTTGAAACAACATCCAACTTCAAGACAATACGAGTAAATCAAAGAAAGTATGAAACTAATAATTACAAAAAGCCAAGCCAGAGGAAGCCATCACTGTACCACAACCATAACCGCCTTCCTCTCTCCCGCTCTGGTTCTAAATCGCTTTGCACCACTGCATTCTTTCGGACCACACAAGCTGCGCGCACACCACTGTGACGTGAAACCGCTGAGCTCATACCGTAGACGACTCCAAAGGGGGGAATGAAGCGCACGGAATTCCCCTTTCAAAGTCTACTCAGCATCGCGTTGTCAAAAGTGTGCTGTCTTAGCTTCTGGGTGCATGCTCCGCATGTGCAGTGCTTAGACTGACTCCGCCTGTCGTGCTGTTGAGATTCTTATTTATGATTTTTTTTATTTTTTTTTTAGTTAGTTTTGGTTCCGTGTTTGTCGGTTTTTGCTTTGTTTCCTGCCTGATACTGCGTGTGTGTCGTCTTTCCTCTTAACTCTCCTCTTCTCCTCTTTCGGCTTCTTGTTCTCTTTCTTTTCACTCTTTCCGTTCTCTGTGGCTCATCTCTTTCGTGTCTCTTGTCTCTCTCTTTCGCTCTCTCTCTCTTTCTCTCTTTCGTTCTCTTCTTCTTTTATTCGCCCTCTCTCTCCTCCTCTCCTTCCTCTCCTCTCTCTCTCCTCTCTCTCTCTCTCTCTCTCATCTCTCTCTCTCTCTCCTCCTCCTCTCTCTCCTCGTCTCTCTCTCTTCTCTCTCTCTAGACTCCCTATCTCTCTCCTACATCATATCACACAAGACCTATAAGCCATCTCGCTAACAGTCTCTCTCCTTGTCTGCGCTCTCCTCTCGC